CCCGTGTTCTCTCAACCGATCATTTAGGCATCGGCTCGCAGTGGCGTACCAACTTGTTTTTGAGTGTGTGTGTGTGTGTGTTGGGGGAGCAAACCAGACCAGACCCCCCCCCCCCCCCCCTCCAGGACTGAGGGGCGGCGCCCTTGGTATCCCTTGGGCGCCGCCGGCCAGTGTTTGCCCTGCCCAGTGGCGGCTGTTTGAGGGGGGGGGGGGGGGGGGGCAAACACATGCTCTGCCCCCCCCCCACACACTCTGAGAACTGGGGGGGGGGTGCAAGCGCTGCCCCCCCCCCCCCCCCCCCCCCCCCCCCGGTTGGTACGCCCATGTCGGCTCGTCTGTCCGACGTATGGAGCACCGCAAGACACGGGTACTGAATAAAAGCATCCTTTACGGCACGGTATATACATAATTGTCTTGTGATTTTTCTAGCATGGGGTGGCCGCCCGGGGCTGTTGACCTTTCTACAAACCTCCATCAAAACGCGGATATTTCTCACAATCAGGAGTCCCATAATAATTTGTATGTTGATAGAATTACCAGATTTTGCAAACCATACCTTATGAGGCTTCGGACGCGTTCAAGCTTCACACTTTGTGTAAATGATTACGCATCTTTCGTACGACCCGATTTTTAAGGATAATGCAACAGCAAAGATGTAGATATGACATCTCAGATTTAGTAAGATTATAATGTTCATTACCATTAGCATTGCATTCCTTAGCGCAATGCAGAGGTCATTTTGGAGGGAGCCGGATTGGGGGGAAAAGAAGCGCTCTTATGAGAATAGGCCCCCTCTCAAGCGGAACTCTGCTCACGCCTATGATGAAAGTGTATGTTAATCATGATTTATCTATGTGGAAAGCTTGTTTGTGAGTTAGTAAAGCAGACATTTGTCAAGGTGTGCTGTGTACGAGAGTTTCCTATGGCGGACTCGGCAACAAGTGCGGACTGTGGACAATGCACCGAATGCAAAAATTGTTTCATTCGAAATTTGCCATTGCTGGTTATACGCCGGGAACAGTATGCGATTAACAGCCATTCTAATTAAATAATTGTCAAAGTTGAAATAAAGCAACTTGGCGCAACCCTGTCGCATGCCTCGTAACTGTTGTTCACTCTCTCTCTCTCTCTTTCTCTCTCTGTACGTTTAAACTATTAAAGAATGGAACAGCTCTACCAAAGCGCGTGCGTCAATTCACTCTTCAATCGAGTTATTCTTGAAATACATTGATACGTATTTTAATAATGACGATCACGATGTCAACTCCAGCAGGCTGGCCACAAGCGAACCAAAAACGCATTTCTGGACAAAAAAAAACAACAAAAACAAAAAAAACTCGATTTTACCGCCACACCTTACGAAGTGAACAAAACGTTGGCAGCGCTGGAGATGACGTGCACGCACGCGGAAAGACAAGATTGCGGGCAAGAGAGAGAAAAGGAAAAAAAGAAAAGAATCAACATTTCTAAAAGCGGACGCACGAAGAGCAAACGGGCCGATGCTAGCGCCGCTCGTTGTCGAGCGAAGCAAGTACTCCGCAGTACCCCGCAGCCGAGCGGATCGCGTGAGTCGTCTGCACCGCGGGGGTCGTCTGCTAGACTGCCAGCTCGCCGTCGTTCGTGCGCCGTTCCGACGTTGGATACACACCGATCGACCCGCCGCTCTCCCTTCCCAAGACAGAAATCGCAACACGTCGATGCTTCGCAAAAGCCATGAAGCCCTCTTTCGACTCATGCTACGGCGCTGCCCGAGTTCTGCCAACTTCGGAACGGCGGCGACGGCGGGGAGCACACAACAGCGGCACGTCTATCTTGCAAGTAGTAAGTGAACGCTTTGCTGGCCTAACCTAACTCTCCATTCGTTTATGTGATATTTAGAACCTATAAAAGAAGCAAATCGCGGAGAGATTTGCGATCGAAAATGTTGATGTCGTACTAAAAACGGGTTTGGGTACGACTAGGACTGGGCAGTCGGTCGATTTACCTACCGATGAATCGATTAATCGCGGTTATTCTTTTATTGAACCGGTTAATCGATAAATTTTTGACAAACCAAAAGAAAGTTAAACGCTTTCACCACTCAAACGTGGACGAGACCACCTGTATGAAGGACCACTTTTAGGCGAAATGATAAACTTAGCTGTAGGGGCCAGATATGGAACTCCAGACAAGTGCAGATTCAGGCTACTTCAACGCCGTGCGAGTGTCCATTTAGCGCAGCAGAGATTATTGTGAACAGCCGAGGAAGTTCGCTCTTGCCGGAGAATACCACCGAACCGCCTCATGCAGCTGAAGTAATCATCCGTGAGTGTGGGTGTCTTTTAACTGTTTTCAACTACACATTGAGGTTGACTCGTAATCATAGCTGTATATTGTGCCGTTCATCACTTTACCAAAAAAAAAAAAAAAAGTCTTTATTAGTGTGCATGGAAATGAAAGAGCCCGGTTTAATTAATCGATTAAATGGTGACTATTAATCGGTTTAATATAATGAGTTGGAGTCAGCGCTCTTTCGCTCTACCTGTCATATCTCTTTCTCCGTGTTCTGTGCG